GACAGGTGGGAACAGTCCCCCAGGGTGCCGTCTGTACTGGAGGCTTCTATGTGGACGAGGTCTATCCTGGGCTACGTAGTAGAAGAGGAGGATCCTGCTTACTGTTGCCCGTCACGTTGTCTCATCGCTCATCGGCCCCCGTCGTACTTCAGCATTCTGGGTTTTCTTTTCCTTTTCTTGGTTGCGGCTCTTGTGGTGGTCTCCGCCGCACGGTTTGGTGCCAAGTTCTCGAGCTGGGCTTGGTTCCCCGAGGTCCAGGGTACGTCGAAACGTTCGACGAACTGCTCCCCCAGAGTTTCCCAGACCAGTCTGTTCTGAGCGGTCTCCTGCCATGCTTCCCCGGCTATGTCGCTGATCTGGCGTTCCACGTCTAGCAAAGGGTGGAAGCGGCTGGCATGTCGTTCGCCGCCCCAGCTTTTCGGCACCGATTGTTCGATGCGCCACCAGCGGAGATCACGCCATCGGAGCATTTTTGAAGCGACTATGTCTCCGCGTGCTATGTGTCCCATCAGCCCCCATATCTGCTGAAGGATGAAGCTGCTCCATCTGTCGATTTTGCACTGGTGCAGCTGCAGGCGTGCCCTTCGCATAGTCCTTGCATTCCAATCCGGCCAGGACTCCCCCGCGTGACGCTGGGGGGACATCATAGTCCTTGTATGCAGTAACTGCAAGGCGTTGGCGGCTTTCAACACATAGTCCACGCATGGCCACGTTTCGCACGCCCATAAGGCGCTCTGTCTGACTAGCACTGTGTGGAGCTGCAAGCGGCTTTTGAGAGGGGCCTTCGACATGAGCGTCCCCCTGTGTTTGCCGAAGGCACGTCTCCCCCGGCCTTGCATTTCGGCTACGAGTATAGCAGGGGGGCTGGCAAAGCAGATCGGGCTCCCCAGAGTTCTGATGATGTGCTTGGGCCCTTTGCTGGTCACGGTGTTCCCCGCCACCTGGAAGGATACTCCCCCATGCTGGTTGTCGATGATCTCCGTCTTGTCGGGGTGGATGTCTAGGCCTTTGGGTGGAAGGTTGTCCCCCAGCCTGTCCAGCATGGTCTGTAAGTGGTGTCGCGTGGTCGACCATATGTAGCTGTCGTCCATGTAGCAACATCCATCTTCCGGTGGTGGTTCCCCGAAAGTGCACTTTGCGGGCGCGGACTGCTGGATCGAGCGTTCCAGCTCGAGGGCGACCACACGTCCGAATGCGATGGGGCTATCGGGGCTTCCCTGACGGACGCCATTTGTTTGGTCCACATCGAAGTTTTCCCCCCGGAAATGGACAGTGACCTTCTGGGCGTGTAGAAGTTGTACCCACGCTCGAGCTTCCCAGGGGGATTCCCCGACTTCCCCCACATCGTGGGCGATCTGTTCGGCGAGCGCCTCCTGGTAGATAGGGTCGAATGCCTTGCGAATGTCCAATTTGGCAATGTACATGGGGATTCCCCAGTCATGTGCTGTTCTGCAGACCTTCCTCAACATCATGATGAGTTCCACCCCTTGTCGATGGCGTCGTGACCACTGTAGTCTTGACGGTCCTTGTACCAGATGAGCGGTTCGGTGTATGATCAGCTGCGAAAACGTTTTCAGCAACGTCGAGCTTAAAGTAATAGGTCTTGTATCCCCCCATGACTGGGGGGTGGGGCACTTCGCTAAGAGCACGGTGACTCCAGCTTCGAGGCCCTGTGGCAGCTTGCCGACGTACAGCAAGTCATTCAGAAAGTACAGCAGCTTCCCCCGCCAGTAGTCATGCTTGGAGAGGGCCTTGAGTGCTTCGTTGGCGATGCTGTCCAACCCGCAGGACTTCCCATTTTTCCACCTTTTTCGAACAGCCTTCAGCTCAGTTTCGTCGAAGGGGCACCACTTTGTGTGTTTGCACATGGCGGTCAGCTTGTCGTTGATCTCCGAGATTTTACGGTCCACTTCAGGACGTCGTTGTTTGTTGAAGATGTCGCTGAAGTGCTTGTGCAAGGTCTCCCGCCAGCGTTCATCGTCTTGTAGTTGTAGTTCCCAGGCTGTGGTGTGCCCGTCGCTGTCCACGATTTTCTTAGAATGCCAGAAGCCTTTCCCCGCCTTCTCGTGCATGGTCGTTTTCCATTGGCGATGTTCCTGTCTGCGGAGCTTCAGCACTTCTTTCCACTGGCGTCTCTGTTCATCCCCCGGGATCATGCGGATGATCAACTGCCGTCGGGTTTTTAGCTCCTCACTTTCCCGGAATCCAAGGATCCCCCTGCCAGGCTTCGTGACGGCTACCGCAATCTCGCGAAGTTGCCGGAGAGGGTCGCCAGAAACACGTGGTCGGTCGTCCAGGATCTTCTCGACGACTGTGGCATTCCGTAGTTGCCGGCAGCCCCAAGGCTTCTCGCGTTTTTCTGGTTGGGTTCTTGCCAGTGGCATCAAGCAGGGCACCCACACTGGCTCATGGTCACTGATCGCCAGGTTCCGAAGGCTCCCCACGTCCCCGGCTTGGGTGGTTATAGTCTTCGTGAGCACATAGTCCAGGCGGCGTGGATTCATGCGGTGATTGTACGGGTAGTACGAGGGCTTGGCGAGCTGCTGTGTGGGGAAATCGCCCTTCAGTGCCATCCACCACGTGAGGATAAGTTCCCCTCGTGCCGAGTCAGAGAGCACGTCAGTTTCATGCCCAGCCTTGAAGGTCTCGTTTGCGTCCATGCCTATCACGATCTTCTTGTCCCCCTGGACGTGCTGTTTCCAGTTCTCCAGGATGCCACAACACTCGATTACGGTGCAGTGGTGTGGTATGTGCCCGGAGATCACGGTGACGCGGAGTTTGTTCATGCAGATCACAGCGCAGTTGGCATGGTCCAGCAACTTGTGACGGTTGTGCTGCATATCGGCCGTATGGGCAATCGCTGTGCCACGCCAGTCGTCTGTGCGTTTACCTGCAATCATCTGAATGTCGTCGAGTTCGTGGGTGTGCTTGCCCTCGTCGACCACTATCTCTTGGAGAAGTAGCACGAAGGACTCATGGAAAGGGTGAATTCGTTCTTTTCGAAGGTCACGAAGAAGCTGGAGGGCTCGAAGTGGTGTCAGTCCTCCTACATTCCATGTGACTGCATGCACTTCCCCGGGATCCTGCTTTGGTTGTTCCCGGGGGTGATACTGCCTTTGTGTGGCTGGTCACTCTAGGGGTCGCTTAAGCTCCCCCCACTTGTCAGAGAGAGCGCTCAAGCTTGTCCCCATCTGCCGCGCCAATGTGTTTAGCAGAATCCATCCGATCCCCGCCGTCTCGGCTCCAGGCGGTGGTGATGTAGTAGCGGATGCGATCTTGACACTGCTGTACCACACGTTTCCAGTGCCGAATTCCACGTCGAGCTTGTGCTTGTCCCCCTGCATTTCCAAGATCAATCTCTTTACTTTGCCTGCAAATTGGGCTCGTTTGCGACGCTCGGGACTTTCACACATGGCTGCCCAGAAATGGCGGTCTCCCCCTTCAGGCCTTTGCCCCGTGATGACCTTGGACTCTCGTATCTCCTTCAAGGCTTCACGAAGGCGAGCTCGAAAATCCCCTTGGCTTTCATTGGCTCTTGCTGCAACGGGGACGATGGCGAATCCCCGCCGAATCCCTGGGACGAAGGCATCGTCCATGTCAATGTCGATGTGGAGCTCGGCGATGTGCTGTTTTACCAGTCGCAGGGTTTCGCTTGCACTCTGGTCTGCGTCCCATCCCCCCATGATGACAGCCGGGCGGGCATTTTCCTGTCCCCCGGTGTCTGTGCTGCGGAGGCTTGTGTTGGTGGTTGTAGAGAAGGATGCGGTGGCGAACTTGCCCTCCAGCAACTCTAGGCGGCGGCGAACTTCCTCATAGGATTGGTCGACCTTCTTGACTGTGTGTTCGATGTCGCAGTGGCGGTCGGTCATTGCCCCCAGCAGTTGTGTTGTTCGTTCGACGTGCTGCTCGAAGTTGCCTTCCAGGTTCTCGACTCTTCTGCCAATCCCCTCCAAGGACTCATGGAGCGAGTGGGTGATCTCCCTTTGGCTGACCTGCAGTGCCTGTTGTAGTAGAGCAAGTGTCAGTGGTTGTTCCCCCGGGTCTTCGCCGTTCTGTTCGTGTTCGCGAGCTCGCTTTGGAGTGTAATGAGGTGGAGCCCCCTCAGTCCTGACTTCGCTCCCGGTACCTGCCCCCGTGATCACATTGTTCGTCGCCATGTTGTAGACGAAGGAAGTTTGCGATGTCGCCGGTCTGCAAGTAGTTCGCGATCTCGACGTATTGGTAGTCCCCCGCCCAGTGTAGAGGAACGCTCCCTCCCAGCAAAGCTCAGGCGGTGGATCGCTGTTGCAATGTTGGGCACCTGTAGGCCGCCGACTGCCTCGTCGGCGCTGGTGGTCTTTTCCCGAAAGAACTGCGCGTGGCCACCGTACAGGAGCAAACCCCCCGAGGTCGCCCGCAGTAACTCCGAAGGTGTTCTCGCAAAGAGCGGCGGGGATGTAGGTGATCTCGCACACTATGATCGCTTGGGCGGTTCCCTCTCTCAGCGGCTCGCCCCGGTTCGAGGCCCTTTCTCTCAGACTAGTTACGTGGCTCGGGCCTTGAGCACTCACGGCCTTGAGCCAAAATGGCTACCTCTCTCTCTCTCTCTCTCTCTGTGGGCGACCGAATCTCTCTCGCGCTCGTGTCCCTCTGGCTTGTCCTTCCTTCACTCAGACTCAATCCCGCATCGGAACCAAATCAGGCACTTGGAACCAGTCACCCTGAAGGCTTCAAACCGACACTCGCATGAAAGGCACTAGTCCCATGAACTGTGCGGCTACCTTCTGTTTGGCCGGCTGGGTGCCGGCTGCATCAACTTCCGCCCCCCTCCCCATCCAATCCCGTTCCAGCAGCGTGCAGCACCTTGTGAAATAGGATGCGGAGTTGAAGTGTGCTGATTCACAGCCTGGCCGTTCTGCACGATCTTCCGGCAGCCGAGTCGTGGGCCAGTGAAGTGTGTTGAGCCGACCACATGGTCCAAACATTCCCAGCTACGGAATTGTCGAACAGCAAGCCCCCACCTCCAACGACCACCACCGGGCGCCGGTACTTCCTTCATGCAGATGGCATATGGATGCTGACGGAAAACTTGGATCTCGGTAAATGGCAGAAATATCACGAGTAGAACGCGACAACATAAGGGATTCCTTGCACTACAGTCTACTGAGTCTACTAGTCTCCTAAGTCAAATTCCGACGCAGTCCGCCACTGGCTGAAAAATTGATCACACATCGACTCTGCCCGGTGAGCCGCACTGCCGCGTAGTACGTGCCGGCAACGGCCAAGCCGCCCCCGAGAAGCCATTTCGAGCTCAGGCCGGCCATGGCTTCAGAGCTGCAGGCACTGCGGGGGGCATTGCTGCTAAAGTAGGTTCCCCCTTGTTGCCCGCTGCTTCAGCTTTGAGAGAGCCAAGCTCAGCAGCTCTGCATACTCACACTCTCAACCGACGGACGCTTGAAGCGGAGCAATCCTTTTCCTCCTTTGATACGATGTGCCGTTTCTGCTGTTTGACCGCGTAGCTGTGTCTTGCTTGGCGCTGTAGAGCCGTGCAGCTGGCATGGGTGGCGAATGAGGCTTCTGACCGACTCGTGATCCATGCGGCATCAGCGGGAGCCCTGTATGAGGCTGTTAAATCTGTCTACTTACCTATCTGTCTGTCGATCTGTCTAACTATCTACCTGTTTATTGTTGCTGAATATGTCTATGTCTCGACTGGAAAAGCAGCTGCCGCGAGTTTCGTTTCACCGCAGGTTGACTCAAGGAGTCAGCTTTTGGGTAACCTCTGCGTCAGATCTTTCAGCTCAGCGCTCTCCTGCACGGCTCAGAGTACAGAGTTGCGAGCTTTGGCTGGGATGCGTTTAGAATTCGAAGGCTTAGAAAGGGTTCCCCCCTTATACAGGGCTGCCAAGCACGCTCCGCAAACTCAGTGAGTTGGCAACAGTTTCGGTTCGCAGAGACGGTTGCAGTGGGCACCCCGGTACTCAGAGGCCGGCTCGCCTTGTCGTCGAATTGGAGACGCTCGGCAAGGCGGCTGAGACCCTGGGCCAAGATTGCGATCTGGGATGACGCGAGAACATCGGGGCTGCTGAGATGTTTCTCAAAAGGAAAGGCGGCCCCTTTCGTGAAAAAATGCGACTTCAGATGGCTGTCTTCGACCGTGTCTTATCCCCTGGACGAGATTGATACAAAAGGACACGGTGCCCTGGGCTTCGCCCCGGAACCCCGTGACTCCTTGGCCAAACAAAAGTGATCATAATAATATGAGCAACAACAAGATTGTTACTTGCAACAACAATAATGGTACTAGTAACAGTAGTGAGAATAATATTCGCCTCGGTCCCGGCCGAAGCGGTCCCAAGACTCCTCTTAATCCCCTCCCCAACGACCCACCCCCGCCACATGTGTCCTCCAATGGATTTCAGTTCTGTAGGCAGACCACGACTGGTCCCCGTTTCCGCACCACCCCCCCCTCTCCCCGCTCCGCCCCTTGCCCTGCACTTCTTCTTGCTTCTGCAGGTACGGCCCTCTTTCACTTGCGGCCGGGCCGAGGCTGACGACGCGGAGCGTTGAGAATTAAGAACGGTATCGAAAGACCTGCAGCGTTGCAGCCACGGAAAGAGCCAGATTCCCGCCTGCAGCTTTTGCTCGTCCTTTCGGAAGGCGCTGCTCTCACTGCGGTAGTCCTGGAACAAGCAGTGTGGACGACCGGAGAAAGCCCAAATCTGCGCTACTGCGGCCTACCTCACAAATCACTCGGACGCAAAAAAAAACTCTCGAGACGCCTGTGCATTGAAGCCGTTGCATAAGTTCTCTGGATGTCTTGAAATGAGCGTCTGCTTGAACCATGGCTCTGGGCCTCAAGAGAAATATACTACAAAGATCACACATATGCTATAACATACTGGACTATGAGATGCTGTCTTAAAAAGCTTCAAGCGTGCACCCCCGGCCTGCCCACGGCTGGCACTGACCTCCACATCCTCCGGGGCCCAGGCAAGGCTTGGGAGAATGCCCAGACTCAGGTATGCTACTGTTCTCGTATCGTATGTTACAATTGCTTTCATACACTGTACTCCAGTAAAGTTATCTATTTGTGTGTATATATTTATACACTATCAGATAATGCAAAATACTATACTTTAATATACATGTGGTCTGATGTGGCTACTACTATGCAACTTCTTCAGGATCCTCGCCGCAATTCCATTGCTGCTCTGCAGGCTCCACTGCTGGGATGGCCTTCTCCTCTGCTTGTACCGTCGACTCTTCCGCCTTGAGCGTCGCCTCTCACTTCTTTCAGCTTGGGGTCAAAATCTGCTGTTGGGGGTCCTTATACTAAGGATCCTACCATTTAGGTACTTTTTTAGGGTCCCCTTCGGAAACTCCCAGCCAATTGTTTCTTGCGTCTTGTCTTGACCTATCAAATACCAAGACCCTATCATGAAACAACAGCAAGCAACACTGACGCCAATCGACTGCCTCAGCCCTTGATTCAACACTGCAGGTGGAGGCCAGCAATCTCGTTTTTCATCCATGGGGCTCAGAAAGAACTCAGCTATGTCAACGTGCCGACTAGAAACTCAAGAGCCTTGGAGGAGATACTCATGCACAGAGACAGATAGGTCTTCTTATCTTTCATGCTCAGTCGATGCCTATACTGTCGTGAACGAGACTCGCGTCCACGCATCACATCGACTAACGCAGACCGCTGTCGAACCATCCATTCTGCGTCCCGAGCATTGTACGAGATGTTGAAAGTCCAAACGGCCGCCCGCGGCCATCTCATCGGTACAAGTCTCTGGTACAACAGACGGGGATGAGCGCCGAGGGCGCACGGCTTGGCGCTCAGGGTTTACGGTGCTCCTATACCGCCTAAACCTAAACCCCAAAACCGTAAGACCCTGGGACCTACGCCCTAGACTCTAGGCTCTACACGGTGAAACCCGAAACAATAAAGCCCTAAACTCTAAACCCCAAAACCTAAACAGGAACTCAAAACCAAAGCCCAAAAGTTACCGGAACTGAAGGAACACCGATAAGCCAAACCCTCACATTTTGTCTGTAGATATATGTATATACATATACATATACATATACATATACATATATATATATATATATATTTATATTTATATTTATACTTATATTTATATTTATATTTATATTTATTTATACTTTATATACACACACATACAACAAATGATACAAACAATATACAACAGACAACATGCCGTATACCACGTTTGATATGTCAATGTATTCCCAGCCTCGAGGTTCAGAAGCCTTGCACGGTCGAAGATGTTCGCCCAGGGCTGCTTCTGAAGATCCTATGGCCGAGCGGTGCAATGAAGGCCCTAGACTTAGTAGCCCCAAAACTCAATCCCTGAACCCCACAATTCAACCCTAAACCCTAAACTCTAAACCCTGAACCCTGAACTCTAAACTCTAAACCTAAGCTCTAAACCCTACACTGTAAACTCCAAACCCTAAACTCTCAAGAGCGGGATAAATAAAAATTGGGTTCCTTTTCGCTTCGAATTGCATATTCATTGGTTCCGAAGGTCCATTAAACTTGTAGGAAGAAATCCGCGCGCAATTCCAAACCAATATCAAGGAACGCCAGCCCAGCCCCGGCGAAGCCCTGCCCCCGCCTGCGCCTGCCCCCGCCCCGCCCCGCCCCGAAGCCTAGCACAGCCCACAGCCCAGCCTACGGCTCACAACTCCCCGAGGCCCAGCCCTTGCAAGCCAAAAACACAACGTTTCGCTCAAAACTTTCGCTCAAAACCCCAGACCCAGACCCTATACAATTTCTATAGGATAAATAGGAATTGCGTAAATTTCGCTTCGAACTGCAGCTTCATTCGTTTCGAGTTTTCATTGAACGTGTGGGAAGAGATCCCAGCCACTCCCAAGATACCTTGTGAAAACCCACTCGAAACTCTTACTCCAAACCCAGGACCCAAACCCTATACAATCTCTATAAACCCTAAACCCTAAACTCTAAACCCCAGACCCTGAAAACACCAAAACTCTCTCGAAGCCCTCCAACGCCCCACCTCATACAGCATCATATAGCATAGTACAACATAATATAACATAATATAACATAATATAACATAATATAACATGACCGGCCCTGCGTCCTCTTCGACTTCGGCTTCCTGCTGTTCTAGGACCTGGCTCCCTTATGGGAGTTTCCAAAAATTAGGGGTACCGTTAAAGGGATCCATAAGGGCTCCTTAAAGGGATCTGTCAGGGTTCTATAAAGGGTTTAGGGTTTAGAGTTTCCGAAAATAAGAGTTACCTTATTTTGGGGTCCTTGTAACAAGGATCCTACAATTTAGGGTACTATACTGTGGCCCCCCATTTTCGGAAACCCGTTGAGTATCTTTGGCTTTGGGGTTGTGAGTTTAGGGTTTGGGGGTTTGCGGGTTTAGGGGTTTAGGGTTTAGGGATTTATGGCTTAGGGGCATCAGGGTTTGGGGGTCTTAGGGTATTCTAGGGGTTAGGGTTTAGGATTTGCTTTCTTGTATCCCTTCTTTTGCGTCAGCTGGGTACAACTAGGGCTTAAGTTTTAAGGGATATGTAGGGTTCAGTGGAAACCTTCATTACAGATATTTTGGCTAAAACTGGCCATAGCAAGGCACCCTTAACGACAACCGTAGCTCTAGCGATCCTGGTGTAAAGACAATGCTCTGAAGGGCCACCCAACGACAACTCTAACCAGCTATCCTGGTGCTGTAACCGAACCATATAAGAGTGGAGCAGCCCTTGATTCACGGATCTTGAAGTTTCCTGACAGAGTGGTGGGCCTGTCTTTTTTTGTTGGCTAACGCTCGGTTTCTCCCTCTGCAAGTTTGGAGGTCTTCGCCAAAGTATTCCTCCTCTGGACCAGGTCGGAGAGTCAGGTTAAAAAGTGTGTCGGTGCTCGTTAATCTCAAGAGGTGAGGGTGGGTGGCGTGATGATATCTCCTGCGAGCAACTCCGCCACAGTTGTGCTCACTCGGCTTCCGTTGGTTTATCTTTCCTAAAAGCTCACTTTATCTTGATGAAAGCGCTTGTGCTTTGCCCACAACTTAACGTCCTACGTTTGCATCAGGACAAGAGTTGGGGCCACCCGCTTTGGTGCTTCTGGATGATAGGAGTGGGCTTGTGGAACCGATGGTTTTGGATTCTTTTTGGTACATCAGAACCCAGGAGCCACAGCGGTCTTTGCGGGCGCAAGCGGCTGATACTTTCCTAGAACGCCCGCTACAAACTGCGGGCCGAAGCTTAGAAGGCTTAGCATGCAGCAAAAGCCATCATGTCGCGTTTTCCCCGAAAC